ACTCAACCCCTCCTCCTCTTACAGTTTGTCAACTCGTGCATCTTACCTATTCTTCTTTACTGTTCACCCTTGTTGATTCTTTCCTGGATTGCTGAAGAAAGACTATGTCATACTTCGTAGAACTCTGAAGACTGTCAGTAAGGCGAGTGGCAGCTATCCCAGTGGGCCACATCGTTGACATTGTCACTGATAGGCACTTTATGTCATGGAACAAATTTGTTAAAGGAATTTTGTCAGACTCTGAGCACTCACTCTACACGCAACCTCAACCTTTTTTCTCCTCCTCAGGTAAAACAAGAAGTCTTTTCAGAAGACTTTATGCAACTACGTCTAAGTATAAAAATTCCACTATACCATATTTTGCTGCACGTACTTTATGTGATGAAAATAGTGTTAGGCATGAACTAACTAACTAACCTTCTTTGCACTAATAAATAAACCATTTCCTCCACCCTTACAACATCAACCTTTATTGTTATTGTACTTCTTACATTCTTATAATCGTCTCAATTTTTTGTTTTTATTTTTATTTATTTTTTTGTGAGTGTGAACATCATTTAAGCTGTGTTATAACTGTTAATCTTGTATTTCCCCTCACTATACTATATCAACAGAACATTAGATTCAATACTCTATAGTAACATGCTAAAGTTTCCAAACTGAATCGACAATACTGTTTGAAACAAACTCACTGTTATTATTATTATTATATTTAATGATCTCAATTCGTGCTTCGAATATTTTCGACTTTATATCGTGAATGTGGACAAATTCCTCTGGTTAATTTTGTTCTAATTTTTAATTTTATTTATATTTTAAGTAAATCAGATGCAAGGTGTTGTGACAAATGATGAGAATTCCATTCTGTATTATAAGTACTGTCTGTTTTGGAATAAAGTAGATTATTATCATTATTGTTACTCTGTTGATATAAGAATTGTACTTGTACAATGTGGTAGAGTATAACCCCATTGTGTGTAAAATTTATTTTGACAAAGTTTCACAGTGTTATACAGTCATATTTACTGATGACCGAGTTTCGGGCACAATCTATTGCCCAGTAACTATTACTGTATAACACTATGAGACTTTATCAAAATAAATTTTACACACAATGGAATTATACTCTGTTGATGCTCTAACCTAAAACTGAGAGATATTTTTATCAAATGTGAGAGAAAGGTATTCTCTGTAACACTTTTCTACAGTTTTTATGCAATTTTTTTTCATTCATATACGTATTCCATACACAGAATTGCCTCCTTCACGTGATTGGTGCGTCCGAGTTCATTCACTGGTTGGTAGTTAGTGTAACTTTGTCATATTGACGATTGTACAGCTTTAAAAATGAATTCGCCACCGAAAAGAGACTCTTCTCTGAACTACTGGTCTTCTCTCCCTAAATAATGTTCTAATGGGGGATTTTTCATGAATTTCATGAAGTACAGAAGCTTGAAGTTGTGGTGCACTTTTGTGCAAACTTCTATACGCTGAATATTCGCTTCACATTCAGCTACCGAATGATATCTCTAATTTCATGTAGAAACTTTCAGTTCATCTGATTATTATTATTATTTTATCCTTTAATTCCTGGAGGAACATAAGGCTTCAGCTGCGCACCTCGATTGCCTTCTGTTTTCTGCCAACTTTTTCACCTCACTCCAAGTCTGCCCATGTACTTTCATCTCCTCCTCGCATGACCTCCTCCAAGTCACCCTCACACTGACGACTAACTCGCCGCTTCCCTTTCGGGTTCCACTCGAGTGATAGCTTGTCTAGTGATGTCACTTGATGGTTTCGTCAGCGTATGGCCAGCCAATCCAACTGCACTTCTTCCTGCTTATTTGTTGCACAGTCGGTTCCTGGTTGGTTGGTTCGCTCACTGTCAGAGATCACTGTTTCTGATCTTTATCGGCGAGCTATCTGATTTTCAGTATTGAGTGAAGACAGTTGTTGATGAAGGTCTGTAGTTTGTTTGAGGTGCTCTTTATGACGCGCTGGCCAAGTCTTTGATCCGTATAGTAAGTAGCACTGACTGACTTCACATTGGAGTTGAAAATCCGGATCTTATTTTTACTTTCATGCTGAGTGCTGTTGACTTCCACACAGACTTGAGAGTAACGAAAGCCTGTCTTACTTTTCCGATTCTGGCTTTGATATCTTCGTCAGTTCCGTCCACCTGTAGTTGAAACGATGCTTCCCAGGCGGCTAGGTGAAGGAGGTTGTTTCTTTCAGGTTCCTCCCATTTATTCTGGCTGATTGTTGTCTGTTGTTGTTGCTGTGGCTGTTGGTGTTGGGCAGGAATCTGAACATACTCTTTAATTTGATGGATGTAAAGACTAGCAGTGGAGTGCAAGATATACATTTCGTCCTATTTGGAACTCATCAGCTAGCTAGCGGATGCACTTGCAATCTTCAGTAAGTGAGTGATTGTCTTCCCACACTTAGGACTGGAACCCAATACCCATCTCCTTTTAAATGCCACTAGACATTGTTATTCTTTCATCCCATTGGTATAAATAAACATAATGTGAACTGTTTATCTACAAATCAATGAGGAGTGTACTTGTGTGTATGTATGTATGTATGTAGGTATGTGTGTGTGTGTGTGTGTGGGTGTGGAAAAGAGGTGATGGTGGAAGACGAAATATATGATTAACATATCTGTTTGCGTAGTGATCTATTTACCGTGGAACAAGGTGAATTGGCGTCTAATTTATTCATTAAACCTTAAACTGTTATGCCACTTGTCAGAAATTGACAACTATACACACATATGCACAAAACACACAACTGCACAACTTGTAAACAAATTTGTTTATATACATATATGAAGTAGATAAACTTTCGAATGATAATTCGCTTGTTTGTTGTCGATTTCTCCTATTTGAAAACATCAGAATAATAATAATAATAACAATAAACGTGGCTTTATTTTTTACCAGTTTGACCACAGAATGATGTCAATTATAGAACCATTGAAACCAGCCACAAGGAATACTGGAAAGCCAGCTTTTTCATCAGTCTAGTTTGGGAATCAATGGCAGCACGCACCTACCATCACAAGGGTTCGAACCCAGGACCTTCAGGTTACAAGGCAAGCTAGCTGGTATACTATTCAGCCACTGGGAACCGATTCAATGGACAGCCACCCCATGAATTCTAACTACTTCTACCAATTTGTGATGCATTTAGAGCGACTGGCACCAACCAAATTCATCGGTGGGGACACCATACTCACATGTAACATCTGGATGGACCTCACTGGTCACGACTTCTCCGGAGAACTTCAGAAACCTCCGTCCAGTACTGCAATGCTGGTTTTCAGTGGTCCTCTAACTGATAGCAATGATCAAACTCGTTAAAAACGAATCTAATCCTTGCAAATCAACACTCTTGAAAAGTAGCTTTGTTTGTTTTTATTCTCGTGTGTTTCGAGTTGATAATAGATGTTTGGAGGCAATCGACAGGATGGCCTTCAACAGATAGCAGTGATTTTAAAGTAATTTGAAAACTACTCTTCAACACAGCGCACATGGTCTGGGGTTCGATCCCTAGACACAGACTCACTGTTTATCTCGATAAGCCAGTAATAAAAAAGCTGGTAAAGAGGGAAGGTTGTGAGGCATAAGGCTAGTAACTCCATTTTGTAAAAATAAATACAGCAACAGAAACTTCAAGCCTCTAGCTTGAAGGTGTTGCCCTGTGTTCCATTTGGAACGTGAAGAAATAAAAAAAACACCCTAAATCTTTATCAATCTCATTCAACAGCTATGTGAAAATGGCAACGGAAAACTCAGCGAGGTGTTTGAAGTAAATACAAGAGTAAGAAAAGCATGTCACGTGTTATCACAGACGATATTCCTAATTGTAGTGAACTAGATTGTGCGTCAGTGGCATAGTGGTTAGGACGCTCAACGACCATGCACATGGTCTGGGGTTCGATCCCCTGCCGCAGACGCAATCCTTTACCTCGCCAAACCAGTAATAAAAAGTCGGTAAAGATGAATGGTTGGGCATGAGGCTAGCAATTTCATCCTGCAAGAAGTAAACACCGCTACAGAAATTTCAAGCGTCTAGCTTGAAGCTCGGTGTTTCACTGCGAAGACTGTAACTGGCGAGCGGAAAGACAGGGACATACTGGACCAATAAGAAGGCTCCTGAAGATCTGGATTCCGCATGTGGATGATTTATGTGTTTATTGTTACTCAAACTCGAAGACTTACAAACGAAAACCGAAAACTAACAGAAAAGGCTGTCAGTGAAGATAAGACTTCGAAAGAACACGGATATTCAAGTTTAGGTTTGCAGGTATTTCATCGGTTAAAGGATTTCATCATGAGCTGACATCAGATAGAGAACCACTGGAGATCCTGGGGGTACTGGACAGCTGTTTCATCCTAGTTTGGGACTCTTCATCAGTACGCACCCACCACCACTGTTCGAACCCAGGATCTTCTGGTTACAAGGCCAGCGAGCTCGTAGACAATTAAGCCACTGGGACCCGATCCAATGGCCCATGAATTCTAACTCCTGCCAATTCACGACATAGCGCGACCCCTAGCCAATGTCTTCGGCGAGGTCGGGTGTGAGGAAAAATACTTGCCAATACAATAAAATACTAGCCATAGGGAAGATCAGATGGCCAATCGGTGAGAAGGAATTAGCAACGAGAAACTCTGGTTGGCTGGCTGACAACAAACCAACAGGCAAGAGCGGACTGCTGCTCAACAAATATGTAGGACAAAATGAAGATGGAATGGACACACGTTGGGTAGACCGTCGGATGACATTATGCCCAACGCAGGCCATCAGTCGAGGAGGACTGGGCTCCCGGGTGGGGGGTGGGAATGGAGGCGATTGTGTGGCTAGCCAGCTAAAGCGGACAGCAGAGAATAGAACAAAGTGGAGACGTGCTGTTGAGGCCAGCTCTATGTTCCACTCGGAACACGATGAGACTATAATAATATCTGATATAATAATTAGTAAATTTCACTCACATCAACATCTGAAATATGCTTAGCAAATAATGTTCTTGCCCATAACCAACCAGTCACTTTGAGAACAACTGGACGATGTTTCAACAGTTCATCAATATGACAAACAATTTCTGCACATATTGGCTTTTGTATTCGATTACCAACACGATTACATTGAAACACCTTGAAGGAGAGAAACAAAATAGAAAAAAGGGAAAAGTTTACAAATCAATTAATCAATCAATCGATAAAGAAATCAATAAACAATGAACACACACACACAAATAAAAACAATAATTGTCAGAAGAATTAAAATAAAAGTTAAACAAAAAGTAGGATAGTCATTTATTTAGTATTGGTTGGCAGTAAAATTCAGACACCCGGTTTTGTCCTGTTTTTTGGGGGGGGCTCATCTGTCTCTGTCTGTCTGTTTTCGACACAGAACTTTGCACAAATGTGCGGAAGTTCAAGTCGCCACGCTCCGTGTAGCACGCGAAACAAGAGAGGAAAGTACAAGAAAAGCATAATAGAGACAGTAAGCAGAGGTGTGAGACAAAGGAATAGTAATAACGAAGAACAAAACAGTCTCATTGGAGATCATAAGTCACAAGGAGTGGATGCATCTGCGCCAGCCACTGAGAACGATTTTGAGCCATGTCACCAATTGTTTCCGACCATAGATTTTTACCGTCCCGAGGACCCCAACCAGTCAGGAAGTCTACATCTTCCTACATGGCTTAGACCAACTGTTGTGGATTTCATTGACTGTTGAAGGCATGTTTTGGTTTGACCGCCGCTAGCTTTTTTCCAGCCTGACCCTATATCCGCTAACATTGCTCGTCGAGGGAGGCGATCGATGACTAGGTATACGTAACACATGTCCTAACCATCTCAGTCTTTGTAGCTTCACGACTTCGTCGATTGATTTCCCCTGTTTACCTAGAACTCTATGCCTAACCTCCATGTTGCTCACCTTATTATGCCACTTTACACGGGAAATAGAACGCAGGCACCTATGATCAAAGACAGCTAGCTGACCTTTTCATGTCTTCCACTCTGAGTGGCCAGGTCTCACAACCATAAAGGAGGACGGGGCGGACTGATGAGCAGTACACCCGCCCTCTGGTCGTTAGTCGAACATCTCGTCTACGCCAGAGTCGGCGTAAACTAACAAATGCGAAACGAGCCCCTTGTATTCGTGCTGAGATTTCGTCAGAGATCAGCCCGTTGGGGCTGATGGTACTTCCCAAATAAGTGAAGCGGTCAACGTGCTTTACCACTTCACTTCCTATTTTTAAACTAGGCGTCGATGTAGTCCATCATCAGTCTATAAGTAGTCAATCTGTGTTGCTGTCTCATCTCAGAGCACTTACCAGTAACTAGTAACTAACCAGTCAATGCTACAGGAAGGTAAGTGGTAGGTTGTGGTGGTGGCCCCTGGTAGCGAAAACCATTGACTCATGTTGTTTTCTACTTGTGAGCCAAATATACCTATATGGAATGTGCTACTGACAACATTTATCAGTAGTATACAAACGGATACTTTAAATGAATTTTAGATTTGACCATCGATTGACTGGACCGAAATGCTCGGCCTCAGAGTGGCATGTTGGCTTCTTGTGCAGATGCTTCAACAATGTCTGAGCGTTTAATTAGTATTTAACTGGTGGATGGTAACTAGCAGTGGAATCCAGGAAAACACGCATTTCGTCCGATTTGGGACTCGTCAGCCACCTGGATGCACCTGCATTCCCCAGTGAGTGATGATGTTCCCTCCATCGAGGCTCGAACCCAGTGCCCATAGTTTCAAACACAAAGCTAAAGCGTTATCCCCTAGACCACTTGGGCCACGAGAGCCATTACCTATTGTTCAACGGGTCATATTAATTATTAAATTGAATTTTAGATTTTCCCTTCGATTGATTGGACCGGAGTGTTCGAACTCAGGTTGATATGTCGGCTTCTTGTCGCATCAGTTAACTTCCATTCCTTACCTAACACTCGACGCCAAACTTCAGTATTACTCATTCTACTATATACCAGCTAGCACTGGAGATTGAACGTAGACACTTTTGATCACAGACTTCTAGATTTTCTTTTTTTCTTCCAATGACGCCATTTGTACCACGGCCATGAAAGAGAACGGAGCGAATTGCTCCGGAGAGCATTTTAAGAAATACATTTAATTTATTTGGGGGACAAAATATGTCTTTCAAATGCCATTCCATTTTTCGATCGAAAAGTCACCAGCATATAAATATGTCCGATCCTATCTTTGGTACAGAATGAATTCTATGTTCAGTCAAATTTGCAATATGGCCAGCCGGCATGCTAGCTATGTGGCTCGCCATGAAGATGCACCGTAAATTGCTGATATCAGATGGTTGGAGGGAATCGGCTTCAGCAAGCTTTGCTCGACCTAGTTGGCACTCGCCAGTCAGTCAGCAAGGAGTATTCTCTAACCTGAAGGAATTCATAACCCTTCTGAGATTCAAACGCGCGTCACCCAATGCTCCAATCAGAGGAGGTCAAATAGGGCTTCTTACAGATTGTCCCCAACCATCTAATTAACATATAAATTACGTTTGTATTGCTTCTATGAGATGAATAATTCGAACAGTACCACGAAAACGAATCATTCATCAATAATGACCCCCTAGTACGGGGCAGTTCGTCAAGGAAGCTGAAATCGAATTGATTACATATCTAACTAATAGACAGATGGGTAATTAATATCTATACAATTTGAATCTTAAATGATAGACTATTGGGTTATACTGTAGTTTCATATATATATATATATATATATATATATATATATATATATATATATATATATATATAACACATATAATGGACTGTTTGTATATATATACAGTTGGGGAATCCGGAAATAGGACGAAATGTAGGTGTCCTCACTAGTGAATAGATAGCATCAATACCATAATTATTATTACTGACTGTTATTTAATTTTAAGAATATCCTAAATTTATTTTATAAACATTCATACTATTTTATGATCTAAGTGACATTAGAAGTTAATTTTAATTAATAAATTTTTTTCTCTTATTGACTAACTTTCAATAAACATGTAGGTAAACAGAATAATAATGAAGGGTTAAATTTTTGTTTATGTTTATACACACACAGAGTTTAAATTTTTATTATGATCTTATCAAGATTAATTGAAAATATTCAATGCGGAGGGATTGTTTTACTCCTAACTACTGTTCAACATTCAATAACATTCAAGGTTCAATATTCAGTTATTATATATTATCACAGTTATTTATATTCACACCGATTTTCAAAACAATTTCTAATATTTACTTGGATTTAATTATAAATATATTGATTTTATAAGCCTTGTTTACTAGAATTTTTTGGATATTCATTGATAAAAGTTGTTTTATTAAAGTAGATAGAGGTCGAATATTGACAAACAAAAACTGTTTGGCGCGCATTTCAAAATAAAATTTCAGTTGATGATTTCTTTTTTCTGACGTTTTGTTTGAAAACAAAACGACTGGCTATTCACTCCACTTTAATTTAATTAATTATGAAAAGTATCTTGAAACATATAACATCTCTAATATATGTGTACTTTGAGAAGGCCTTCGACAGCGTTGACTGCGAAGTAATTTGGAAACTACTCGAGTACTATGGCGTGCAGCGCCCAAATATTCATCAAACTGTGAATTCAATGAAGCAATTGTTATGAGCTAAAAATCCACGATTATTTGATAGCAGGCTAAATTCTTGATAACGCAGAAGGAAGATGGACCTGCTTTGCAGTTAAACTGCTGAACGAGTTTGTGAAGATTATGCTCATAATGGCTCAATAATGGAGACACGGAACAGTGATTGCTGATGTATCAATAGTTCTTATCAAGATTCAATGAGTGTTGCGATTTCTACTTATGGAATCGATAATTAGTGTTGCCAGTATTTCTGAAGTGCCTGAACTAATATTAGGTTCTTAGAATATGTTGTGCAATCGTCTTTATCATTTTATTGTAAACTTTCATAACTCGGCGTCTTCTTTCCCTGCATATAATCCCAACCGTTGTCTTATAATTTAATGTGATGGAGAAGATTTGTATCTCGGGGAGATGATATTGAATTGGTTTTATTCTCTGTGCTGGTTGATTCAATTGCAAGACCTTCGTCGTCCCTCTAAACAACATCTTAAGCGCAGGTTTTAGTATAAAATGAACTCATTTAAGCGGTATCCGAGAGATACAATTATGTTATTCATGGAAAATTTGAATGAGTTCTTTTTATACTAAAACCTGTTATGAAGATGTTGTCTGAAAGGACGACGAAAGCTTCGCAGTTAAACCAACCAACTCAGAGAATACACCTAATTAACAATCAATTAATTTACTGGCGTCTATATGTGCCAGTTTTGATTGTAAAAAGAATTCGGTAATATTAACAATGACTGATAGCGAGAAAAATTTGGAATAAAAATACTCATACAGAAAAACATCTTACGTTTGAGTTTTTAGTAAATGTGAATGAATTGCAGCAACACCATTCATCAACAGCTGTACGACAGCGGCACATGTCAAGTGATCCACAAGGAAAACCCAGCGAGGCATTTGGAGTAAACACATGAGTCAGACAAGCGTGCTTATCATCTATCACCAATGATACTCCTAATCAATCAAAAATCGATAGATATCCTTCTCATGTTATCTCCAACTGTGTATACAAATTTACATGTATCTGAGGGAGCAGTTACATTGGAAGGACAGAGAAAAGAAGGGCATATCTACGATTTCCCGAACATGTACCAAAAAGCTTACGTCTAAAGGGAACAAATGCTTTAAACAGTGCCATCCATCAACAGGCATCTCCTCGACACGGGTCATGAGGTGGATGTCGAAAAGTCGTTCAAAATTATCAATAGGCAAAAGAGCTCAATTCTCCTTAAGTTTGCTGAAGCCATTTGCATCAAGCGCCTGAAACCTGATTTATGCGTCCGGAAAGAAGCGGTTATCAGTCTTTCTTTACCCTATCTGGTAACTGGATAATTTCACCTCTCTTTCCTTCGAATGTGAAATGCCAATCGTTTCCATTGTGTTTGATTATTATTGTTCGGAATAGTGGTTAATATTGCATATTTATATATGTATATATTTTTAGTGTATGCATATATTTATCGATTGATTTTTGT